AAGCAACTCTCTGCCCAAGTCAAGCAATGCAGTAGTCGAAACCAGCCATGACAATGTCATCTTCGGACGTGACTCGCTGCCAAGATCCGATGCCTCAACGCTCACACGCAAGCCGGCTTCGTCTGCCTCCTGTCGATTTTGCGGCTTTTTATTTCCGATCTGTACCAGTAACTCGACGCAATCGAGCAAGCAATCCTTCGGCCCTGTGATTTGCTCAGCGGCATCTACAACAACCTCCTCTGCTCGCACCGCAGGAATTCCACTGCAGCCGCCGCTCGCTGAAAAACGTAATAAAGGCTTCGCAGTGCCAGTCCATGTCTGTGGCAGCATCCGAATCTGTAAAACCTGTAAATAGTTGCGCGCCGCGCGACTTTGCCAAGCCTCCTCCTCCATGATCGCAAGTCGCACAGAAAAGTTCAAGCCGCGTAGTGTTTGCAGTACAGTAAGCTGATCTTGAGGCTCGATGCTTCCAGGAGTAGTGATGCCGGCTGATGCAAACATTTCGTCTGCTTGCGCAGTAAACATTTTGGCTTCCAGCAATCCTGTGTGGTCCACAAGTTGCACGTCGATTGCATAGCACCGACGCTGCGCGCCTTCGTGCTGAGCACAGGCACTCTTGAAGCACTCGGAGCAGCCAGTATAGTGCCAATCCAAGGCGGTGCGCCGAGGATTAATGTCCACCAGGGTGACCCACGGGACTTCCCAAACTTCCGCGTTATCAAACTTGCGGCAGCCAGACGACGGCAGAAAGCAATCTAATGTCGACGCGGAAACATAAATGGCACGCGCCTGAGACCTGTTGCCGGCCAAAGCAGACCGGTTAGACAGCTTCCTAACAACATCTTGGCTGGTGTTGGACAGTGTGTCAGGATTCTCGCCGGTCAGAAAAGACGCAGCAAGTTCGCCGGTCAGAAGAGACGCAGCGGAGCCTTTCACCCACTTGAACGCGAACCCGTTCTTGTCTTGCGAGGCTTGAACTGCAATCCCTGTTAGCAAGTATGCACTGCCAGCTTGCAGGCCAGCAACATCAGTGGCAAACTCCGCAAAACCTACTAGCTCGGCTTGCCAGCGCTCATTTTCAAATTTCTCCTCCACAAGTGCCTTACCCAAGCTTTTGCCTGACTTGGGAGTGAAAGCGTTTGCTTCGAGAACGCGACACTTGATGCGAACTAGACCTTCGCGCAAGCAGCTGGCGGCTTTGAAAGAGGTTTCTGGTATTGTCCGCGCTAAGTCTGCCAACTTAAGCTCTGGAAATCCACACAAGGAGCGTGAACTTTCTTCGTCTGCGGGCGCTACTTGCAGGTGCTTGTCAAAGCGAACCATGACTTGCACCCCTGAGTAGCTATATTTCATTTTATCGGCCTTGCGCAAAGACAGGGACACACAGGTTAAGCTTACCAGCTGTCCGGCATGAAAGACTTGCTTCGCTGCCTCTTTAAGTTCTCTCCAAGCCTCAATTTGTATGACTTGCTTGCGGCCCGGCCCGCAGACAAGATAGCAGGAGAGAACTTGATCTGTATCTTGGAAATCCACCAAGCGGCCCACGAGACGTCGGTCGGCTCCGAGCTTGCTTCCCTTGGACAACTCGTGTGGCTGTATCGCCATAGGCTTTTTCTCAGCAGCTGCATTAGTACCTGACGTCGATCGGGAAAAAAACGAAGCAGCTTCACCGAGCATTGCAAAGGGCGCAATGTCAGGCGGGCAGAAAAGCCGCGCCAGACAACTAGTGGAGTGTGTAGAAGTGTGTGCTCGTGGAACATCGTGACATAATGTGCAGTGTGTGCTCTTGAAGTGTGGGCTCTTAAATGCTAAACATCATAATGTTGCCATGATGGACTCATGCCGAAAAAAGGCTGCAAGCAGAGAGTAAGCCAAAAAAAACAGGTGCCGTCGCGAGAGTGCCAACATGCGTGTCTCTACCATCTATTTTTGGCCTTACAAAGACTTCCTTTGGTAGGGCATGACATGCTCCGTGCTCCCTTCCTATCATGCTGACGTTTTCCAAGCGTTGACAAACCAAAAGCACCACAGATTTTGAGCAAGCACAAACAGTACATATGCCTATGTTTGCTGCCTAGCGTATGCCCAGCACAGACACGACAGAACTGCACAGGCCCGCCGTGTGCTTTTCCAACGCGCGCCGTCTCGATGTCGGTGGAACAGTGGCCGCCAGTCGCGCAGTCAGAAAAGACACACGCGCTGGCAGCGGTAGCTCATGCACACGGTGGAAAAACGGCATTATGCGGGCTTCGGCGTCCATGCTGTTGCCGTACAACTGCCGTAAGCTCTTTGGCAGCCGAGGCCGCGGCAAGTGGTCCCCTAAAACTGTCTCACTGGCGTGCAGCTTTGGCTCATGCCATGCCTTTAATGGCATGTGTTCCACTTCGATGAGAAGCGGCTGCAGCGCCCTGCGAACACGCTCTTGGTCCACCAGGGACAGATGGCACCAAGTTCTCCGGAGGAAATCATAGCCGAAGCGAAAATCATCATCGGCTTTCTTGCCATGGCCGCTGAACAGCTCCTCGGCACAAGTAGCTCGCAGTGCCTGCAGCTCGGCCTTTCTTTGCTGAAGCATAGTCAAAAACTTTTCGACCAGAGCGGTTTCGGAGACACACAAGTCACGCTCCCAGCCTTGCACGAGTGCTTCTTGCTCCGGCGACAGATGCTGTCTGTATCTTTTGAGAAACATAGCACAAAAGGAAGAGCTTACATCAGCTCCCTGGTCAAGGCTTTGCAATGCCTTCACCAGGGAGCTCTTTTCTTGAGCTCGCAGCACGGCAGAGTAAGCTTGGACAAAAGCACTCAGCCTTGCAAAGCTTCGTTGAAGGCCGGCCAGAAAAGGCGCAGCCTCCAACTTGGACTTGTCACAAAGCACAAACTCCCAGTCTTCTAAATGCTCTTTCTGGTCGGCATTCAACAATGCCACGTGCCTGTCGAAGAAATTCTTAGCTTGCTTCCAACGTGTGTCGGAATTCGCGCGGTTGCTGCTGACAACAGCTGACAAGCTTTGCTTCTGTAGCTGAGCAATTTCAACAGCATTCTGAGCGAAGAAGGCTTGCACTTCGACAAAGGCAGGAGCACGACGCGATGCTGCAGCTTCTTTTGCCGCAGCACTCACTTGACACAACTCAGCTTCCTTTGCAAGCAAAAAATCCTTTTCCGCAGACGCCAAGCGGTCGCTATAGCGCAGCAGGAAAACACGGCAAAAGCTCGACATTTGAAATTCCTGCATGTGTCGACTCTGCAAAGCTGCCAGCAAGCTTGGCTTGCTTGAGTATCTTATCGCCTCTGCCGTCTCTGTCAAAAATGCCTCCACGCGGCAAAAGCAGCGTTGAAGGCCGGCCAGAAAAGGCGCAGCCTCCAACGTGGACTTGTCACAAAGCACAAACTCCCAGTCTTCCAAAATCTGCTGCTGAGCTGGCTCCAAGCTTGAAAGTTTTCGTCTGCAGAAATTTCTGGCTCGCTCCCACTCTGGTACCTGACTGCGCCGCTTGCTGTTGAGCAAAGCTGTAAGCGTCGGCTTCTTCATTTGCACAAGCTCCTGCGAGTAGGCTGCCAAAAACGCCACCGTCTTATCAAATGCGTCTGCCATGGCGTCCGGAGCGGTCAGAAAAGACGCGCTCCACCGTGCGGGATACACAAGGAAACGATGTCACTGGCATGTGTCTGTGGAAGTATATGCGTTCTGTGGGAACACAAACTAAAAAAAAAACATCAAGAGGTTGTCCGCCTGAGCGTGATGCTGGTAGGTCGGCTGGTGACAAACAACAAACTAGAACATTAACATGTTCTCGGCCTGTGTGTGGTGCTGGTGGGAGTGCTGGTGAAAGTGTAGTGGTGGTAGTGGTGGTGGTGATGTGAGTTGCCGCTCCGCGATTGAAGCCGGGACATGAACAAACATGAACAGTGGTGGTGGTGATGCTAGTGATGCTGGTGACGAAAACCGGGACATTGAACAAACATGACATACGCGGAGCAACTGACAAGACAGAGCCGAAACGCCACACGGTCACAGCGACATTACCTCCCTATCTATCTATCTATCTGTCTATCTACCTATCTATCTGCCTGTCTACCTCTCTATCTATCTGTCTACTTGTCTCTCTATCTTTCCAGCTTTCTATCTATCTATCTATCTATCTATCTGTCTGTCTGTCTATCTATCTAGAGCGCGACTAACTCAACAGGGCAGCGTAGGATGCCTTGCGCGTTGCCATTCCAATGCGTTTTACCACTGCCAAGCTGCATTCCATCTTAGAAATGCGCACCGCGCGCAAGCGCCACGCATTTTTTCCAAATTGGATGAAAGCCTTGCGCGTTGCCATTCCAATGTGTTTTACCACTGTCAAGCTACATTGCATCTTAAAAACGCGCACCGCGCGCAGGCGCCACGCATTTTTCCAAGTTAGATAAAAGCCTTGCGCGTTGCCATTCCAATGCGTTTTACCGCTGTCAAGCTACATTGCATCTTAAAAACGCGCACCGCGCGCAGGCCGCGTGCGATTTTTGAAAGTTGGAGCTTCCAAAAGTAGCCCGACCCTCTCAGGTTTTTACGATTTTGACTTCCAAATGTGCACCGCGCGCAGGCCGCGTGCGATTTTTGACGTATTTTGACTTCCAAATGTGCACCGCGCGCAGGCCGCGTGCGATTTTTTGCCAGCAATTCCGACCAAAGGCTCCGCACCCGCCGCTTTACCGAAGTAACTTCTGGGCCGTTTGGAGGCTCAAAACATTGAAAAATACAGCATTTCGCGACCTTTCTAACATTTCGCACACCATGCTTCATCTTTCTTCATCGCTTCTTCATCTTTCTTCATCGCTTCTTCATCTCTGCTTCTCTCTCTCTCTCTCTATCTCTCGCTCTGCACTGCTCTGCTTGAGTTGTCGATATTGTCGGAAGTTAGACTTCTAAACTTCCTTCGATGAGGGGGTTTTGCGGGACTCGGCAAGCACCAACGCCTGGCGGAATGGCTAAACCTTGCAGCTCTTGCATTCGACAGGATGATTGGAAGGGCAAGAGCAACTGGTCCCAGTGGCAGGCCGGAAAGCGACAAAACGGGGAAGCTGGACAGGAACGAGTTTTGACAGGGGGTATCAGGTTTATTTCTTGTAGGTTGGTTATCGAATGCTGATTCATTTTTCAAAGCACGTGTTGGCTTGTTGATTGCTTGTTGTTCTCCGACGCTCAGCTCCATGTGTACCACAAATGCTACTTGTTGAGATCTACTTTCATTTCTGGAAAGGCCCCCTGTGCACCTTCACGTTTGCTGCGCAAAACACCAATAGTAGCCACTTGTCGTCCTTCAAAGGGTCATTCGCAAAAGCAGGACAAGCGTTTCCTAGGAGCTATGCATGTCCTGGATCCTCTTTGAAGCGTGTGTCCTCTTTCGGACAGACTCAAAAGTCACACGCCCACAGGGCCAAGCGATATTGGCTGGTGACAAGGGGGTCTTTCGCGACCATGGTTTGAGCTTCTTACCCGTTTTCAAAAGGCACTATCTGGTCAGCGGCGGATCGAAGTAGCTAATCAGTGCAGTCCGTGTGGCAGGTGGGGAACAATCAATTCTTACGCCCTTTCTTATTATATAGATAATTACAGAATTTCCGGGGTCCAACTTGAACCGCACTCACCTGCGCAGGTCTCACTGTGTGGGAATCTAGGGAGAAAGGGTTGTAATCGTTTTGAAATGTTTCGGACTTCCAGAAGCGCAACTTTTGTTGGGCCAGTCCAGTGCGTGAGCATGAGTTGGCTGAAAGTTGCCTACAGGGACGGAATCTCTCAACACCGTCCGGTGTGCCTCAGCATAGCATTTAGGGGCACTTGATGCCAGGACTGGAAGGACAACAAGGAAGAGGCAGAGTGGAAGGCGGCCTAGGGTCTGAGATAGCAGATGTCACACACACACATGTTTTTTTCTTGGTGCAGCCTGCAGCCTAGATCTTGGCACATTATTACGTTTTTGTTTGTTTTTTTTGTTTCTCGGGCGGGCGGGGGGGGGGGGGGGACCTGCTTTTAGCACTTCTATTTATCAAGGCGCACAAAATGACACGAGAATGTCACAATGGCCTTCTTTTTGATAGCCCAACTTGGGGATCCCTGTTTTACCGGTCAATGATTTCGATAAGCCATTTATCACTCAGGTTGAGACTATGTGTCAAAGCAGCCGACGGGAACCAAGCATTCGGAGCAGTTCCGGTGCTGGTCGTGTTCAACCTACCTGCAGATCAGCTCGAGACTGACTGACAAATAGTAAATAGCTGGCTTTGTTTCAGCCTTTTTTTGGCCCGTACTTTAGACTCGACATGTCAACAAAAAGCCCGGGAAAATGGGGAACTTGTGCTTATCATTCCCTATGCGGGGGTTTTGCGGGACTCGGCAAGCACCAACGCCTGGCGGAATGGCTAAACCTGCGGCGTCCGCCCAACCTTGCAGCTCTTGCATCGACAGGATGATTGGAAGGGCAAGAGCGACTGGTCCCAGTGGCAGGCCGGTAAGCGGCAAAATGGGGAAGCTGGACAACCGCTGCTTGCTGCTGAGATCTACTTTCATTTCTGGAAAGGCCCCCTGTTCACCTTCGTGTTTGCTGCGCAAACCACCAATAGTAGCTACTTGTCATCCTTCAAAGGGTCATTCGCAAACACGGCACAAGCACTAGCTATACATGCTCGCACTACACATATAATTACTCTCGTCTGGTCGCAATTCAGTGACCAGGAGTCCAGTCTATTCGGAGCATGACTCAGTTCATCAGAGTCAGCGCCTGCACTGCTGCAGACACCTTGGGTGTGTGTGTGTGTGTCCCTTAAACTACGACAAGAAACACAAATGTATTGTTTTCTTCCCAAAGCAGCTAGGCAAGAAAGCAGCCTCGGATTCATCAGCATGGCATGAGCAGTGATTCGTCCTTGAGTTCGTAGATCCTCTTTGAAACGTGAAGCCATCCTCACGAACTCGGACAGATCAAACCGTGCTCGCTGGGTGGCTACCCTTTGGCCCCCTTGGACAGAACCCCTCAAAGCGTCCCCCAGAAACGGTCTGTGCACGCCTACCGGGCCAAGCGATATTGGCTTGTGGCAAGGGGTTGCTTTGGCGACAATAGTTTGAGCTTCTTACCCGTTTTCAACAGGCACTATCCAGTTAGCGGCGGATCGAACTAATAAGTGCAGTCCATGTAGCAGGTGTGGGACGGTCATTTATTGCATTAAGTAGCACTTGAAGGCATTACAGGCTTTTCTTGGACCGCACTTACCTGCGCAGGTATCACTGTGTGGGAATCTAGGGAGAAAGGTTGTAACCGTTTCAATGTTTTGGACGTCCAGAAGCGTAACTTTTGTTGGGCCAGTCCAGTGCGTGAGCATGAGTTGGCTGCAAGTTGCCTACAGGGACGGAATCTCTCAAAACCGTTCGGTGTGCCTCAGCATAGCATTTAGGGGCACTTGATGCCAGGACTGGAAGGATAACAAGGAAGAGGCAGAGTGGAAGGCGGCCTAGGGTCCGAGATAGCAGATGTCACACACATGTTTTTTTCTTGGTGCAGCCTGCAGCCTAGATCTTGGCACATTATTACGTTTTTGTTTGTTTTTTTGTTTCTCGGGCGGGCGGGGGGGGGGGGGGGGGGACCTGCTTTTAGCACTTCTATTTATCAAGGCGCACAAAATGACACGAGAATGTCACAATGGCCTTCTTTTTGATAGCCCAACTTGGGGATCCCTGTTTTACCGGTCAATGATTTCGATAAACCATTTATCACTCAGGTTGAGACTATGTGTCAAAGCAGCCGACGGGAACCAAGCATTCGGAGCAGTTCAAATAGTAAATAGCTGGCTTTGTTTCAGCCGTTTTTGGCCCGTACTTTAGACTCGACATGTCAACAAAAAGCCCGGGAAAATGTGGAACTTGTGCTTATCATTCCCTATGAGGGGGTTTTGCGGGACTCGGCAAGCACCAACGCCTGGCGGAATGGCTAAACCTGCGGCGTCCGCCCAACCTTGCAGCTCTTGCATGGATGATTGGAAGGGCAAGAGCGACTGGTCCCAGTGGCAGGCCGGTAAGCGGCAAAATGGGGAAGCTGGACAACCGCTGCTTGCTGCTGAGATCTACTTTCATTTCTGGAAAGGCCTCCTGTTCACCTTCGTGTTTGCTGCGCAAACCACCAACAGTAGCTACTTGTCATCCTTCAAAGGGTCATTCGCAAACACGGCACAAGCACTAGCTATACATGCTCGCAGCACACATGTAATTGCTCTCGTTTGGTTCGCAATTCAGTGACCAGGAGTCCAGTCTATTCGGAGCATGACTCAGTTCATCAGAGTCAGCGCCTGCGCTGCTGCAGACACCTTGGATGTGTGTGTGTGTGTGTGTGTTTCCCTTGAACTACGACAAGCAACACAAATGTATTGTTTTCTTCCCAAAGCAGCTAGGCAAGAAAGCAGCCTCGGATTCATCAGCATGGCATGAGCAGTGATTCGTCCTTGAGTTCGTAGATCCTCTTTGAAACGTGAAGCCATCCGAACTCGGACGGATCAAACCGTGCTCGCTGGGTGGCGCTCGCTTGGACAGAACCGCTTAAAAAGTCACACCCAGACACGGTCTGTGCACGCCCACCGCGCCAAGCTAATATTGGTTTGCGGCAAGATGAAGCTGTGCCAAGTGCTTGCAGGCGTTGAAGGTAGGCGAGGTGAACCGTGGGGCAGGCTGGGATGATTGGAGGTCTTTTGCAACAATAGTTTGAGCTTCTTACCCGTGTTCAGAAGGGACTATTTGGTTAGCGGTGGATCGAATTAACTATTCAGTGCAGTCCGTGTGGCAAGTGTGGAGCAATCAATTCTTACGCCCTTTCTTATTGTAGAAAAAATTACGGAATTTCCGGGGTCCAACTTGGACCGCGCTCACCTGGGCAGGTCTCACTGTGTGGGAATCTAGGGAGAAAGGGTTATGATCGTTCTGGACGTCAAGAAGCGCAACTTGTGTTGGAAGTTGCCTAAACAGAGCTGTTTCTCTGCACAGCTTTTGGTTTTCATCATGGCCTTTAGGGGCACTTGATGCCAGGACTGGAAGGACAAGGAAGAAGCAGAATGGAAGGCGGCCTAGGGTCTGAGATAACAAGGCAATGAGGGCTTGGGTGACCGGTTGAATGGGTTCTAACTTAACACATGCGTTCGATGAGATGCTACACATATGATAGTCCCTTGGTGCAGCCTGTTTTTGTTTGTGTTTCATTTTTTCTCCGGGGGGGCGGGGAGGGGGGCGTCGCAGAGACGACTCTTTTTGGGCGCAAGGCGCGCACAATGACACCAGGATGCCACAAGTGGCCCTACAGCCCAACCAAAAGCACCGGCCGATGCGAGCCATGAGGGCTTCTCATTTGGGGATTCCGGTTTTGCAGGTTGATGCGGTCGATGAACCACAATTCACTCAGGTTGAGGCTATGTGTCAAAGCAGCCAACGTGAAACCAAGCATTTGGAGTCGTCCCTGCGTGGCTCATGTTCAACCATACCTGCAGATCAACTCCAAACTGACTGATAAACCTTCGGGGTCCGCCCAACCTTGAACTTCTGGCATCGACAGGATGACTCGAAGGGCAAGAACGGCAAGAACGACTGGTCCCAGCAGCAGGCGGGTAAGCGAGAAAACGGGGGAGCTGGAAAGGAACTTTTGCCAACTCCCTGTTCACTTCAGGATTGTTGAGCAAATCACCAATAGCTACTTGCCATCTTTCTTGGTTTTGTCTTGGATTCGAGGCATGAGTCAGTAGCATCAGAGCTGCTCTGCAGACAGTCCGGGCATTCTGCATGTTCTGGCCTGTTCGAAGCCTATCCTCAATTCTTTGGTTTTGACTGAAGTGTCCATGGTAGTGGTAGTAGACTAACATTGGCCACCCTCCATGAACAGCCAAGAAATGCGTCTCCCCCGGTGGTCAACGTGAGTCGTGAATTATCAATCTTGGATATTGATTCAGAGCCGCAACAAGGAGAGCCGTGGGCAGGTTCTACCAGTTGTCACTGCTGTCACTGGCTACTCTTTAGGTTGCGATGGCTCCCCTGGCTATGGTTTTGATTCTTGTGATTATGACAATAAGAGATGTCTCGAGAGTTAATTCTCGTGTTTTCGCGCTGCAGAGAGTATGCATGGATGCATCCATTGGCATTGATGTGGGTTTTGACCGAGGTCAGTCCTTGAAGCTAACTGTCTGCCGTGGGAATTGGCTGCATCTGAATGGTCGATTTGTATCCTTCAGCTCTCTACGTGTACAGTTCGATTGTATGTCGCCTATCAAGGTTTATGGTTTGATTGCCCTGTCCATCCATCCCATGAAAAATGGAACTGAGGGAGGGGTGATCCTTGGAGTTTCTGTTATTCAACTTTGCCTTTTGTTGGGAATAATCAATCAATGGAGTTGGGGAACTCTTAATCTCATCCCCTCTGGTGGAGATGTTGCCCTCATGTCACACGTTCGTCTTCTTTTGTGATGCGACCGAAGCCGGCCTGGTTTTGGTCCACGTGTCACAGTGCTAAAATTGTCTTTTGATTGACCCGCTTAGGTTTTTAAGAGGGACGCCAGAAGGGGTTGTTTTGAACAGGATCAAAGGTTTACAATGTGTATCCGGCTCATTCAGAAGAGCGAGACAATATTGTGCCGTGCATATGTTAGAGGGTGGCTTTTGATCAGGGTGAGTGAATTGCGGTTCTGGCATCGTTGGCACCTTGGTGCAGCCTGTTTATTCGAACCCATGTAGGGTGCCCTGACCTAGATGGTGATTATTGTCTGTGTTTCATTTTTTTCCCGGGGGGGGGGGGTCGCAGAGACGACTCTTTTTGGGCGCAAGGCGCGCACAATGACACCAGGATGCCACAAGTGGCCCTACAGCCCAACCAAAAGCACCGGCCGATGCGAGCCATGAGGGCTTCTCATTTGGGGATTCCGGTTTTGCAGGTTGATGCGGTCGATGAACCACAATTCACTCAGGTTGAGGCTATGTGTCAAAGCAGCCAACGTGAAACCAAGCATTTGGAGTCGTCCCTGCGTGGCTCATGTTCAACCATACCTGCAGATCAACTCCAAACTGACTGATAAACCTTCGGGGTCCGCCCAACCTTGAACTTCTGGCATCGACAGGATGACTCGAAGGGCAAGAACGGCAAGAACGACTGGTCCCAGCAGCAGGCGGGTAAGCGAGAAAACGGGGGAGCTGGAAAGGAACTTTTGCCAACTCCCTGTTCACTTCAGGATTGTTGAGCAAATCACCAATAGCTACTTGCCATCTTTCTTGGTTTTGTCTTGGATTCGAGGCATGAGTCAGTAGCATCAGAGCTGCTCTGCAGACAGTCCGGGCATTCAGCATGTTCTGGCCTGTTCGAAGCCTATCCTCAATTCTTTGGTTTTGACTGAAGTGTCCATTGTAGTGGTAGTAGACTAGCATTGGCCACCCTCCATGAACAGCCAAGAAATGCGTCTCCCCCGGTGGTCAACGTGAGTCGTGAATTATCAATGTTGGATATTGATTCAGAGCCGCAACAAGGAGAGCCGTGGGCAGGTTCTACCAGTTGTCACTGCTGTCACTGGCTACTCTTTAGGTTGCGATGGCTCCCCTGGCTATGGTTTTGATTCTTGTGATTATGACAATAAGAGATGTCTCGAGAGTTAATTCTCGTGTTTTCGCGCTGCAGAGAGTATGCATGGATGCATCCATTGGCATTGATGTGGGTTTTGACCGAGGTCAGTCCTTGAAGCTAACTGTCTACCGTGGGAATTGGCTGCATCTGAATGGTCGATTTGTATCCTTCAGCTCTCTACGTGTACAGTTCGATTGTATGTCGTCTATCAAGGTTTATGGTTTGATTGCCCTGTCCATCCCATGAAAAATGGAACTGAGGGAGGGGTGATCCTTGGAGTTTCTGTTATTCAACTTTGCCTTTTGTTGGGAATAATCAAACAATGGAGTTGGGGAACTCTTAATCTCATCCCCTCTGCTGGAGATGTTGCCCTCATGTCACACGTTGGTCTTCTTTTGTGATGCGACCGAAGCCGGCCTGGTTTTGGTCCACGTGTCACAGTGCTAAAATTGTCTTTTGATTGACCCGCTTAGGTTTTTCAGAGGGGCACCAGAAGGGTTTGTTTTGAACAGGATCAAAGGGTTTACAATGTGTATCCGGCTCATTCAGAAGAGCGAGATAATATCGTGCCGTGCATATGTTGGAGGGTGGTTTTTGGTCAGGGTGAGTGAATTGCGGTTCTGGCATCGTTGGCACCTTGGTGCAGCCTGTTTATTCGAACCCATGTAGGGTGCCCTGACCTAGATGGTGATTATTGTCAGTGTTTCATTTTTTCCCCGGGGGGGGGGGGGGGGCGTCGCAGAGACGACTCTTTTTGGGAGCAAGGCGCGCACAATGACACCAGGATGCCACAAATGGCCCTACAGCCCAACCAAAAGCACCGACGGATGCGAGCCATGAGGGCTTCTCATTTGGGGATTCCGGTTTTGCAGGTTGATGTGGTCGATGAACCACAATTCACTCAGGTTGAGGCTATGTGTTAAAGCATCCAACGTGAAACCAAGCATTTGGAGTCGTCCCTGCGTGGCTCATGTTCAACCATACCTGCAGATCAACTCCAAGCTGACTGATAAACCTTCGGGGTCCGCCCAACCTTGAACTTCTGGCATCGACAGGATGACTCGAAGGGCAAGAACGGCAAGAACGACTGGTCCCAGCAACAGGCGGGTAAGCGAGAACACGGGGGAGCTGGAAAGGAACTTCTGGCAACTCCCTGTTCACTTCCAGGATTGTTGAGCAAATCTTCAATAGCTACTTGCCATTTTTCTTGGTTTTGTCTTGGATTCGAGGCATGAGTCAGTAGCATCAGAGCTGCTCTGCAGACAGTCCGGGCATTCTGCATGTTCTGGCCTGTTCGAAGCCTATCCTCAATTCTTTGGTTTTGACTGAAGTGTCCATGGTAGTGGTAGTAGACTAACATTGGCCACCCTCCATGAACAGCCAAGAAATGCGTCTCCCCCGGTGGTCAACGTGAGTCGTGAATTATCAATCTTGGATATTGATTCAGAGCCGCAACAAGGAGAGCCGTGGGCAGGTTCTACCAGTTGTCACTGCTGTCACTGGCTACTCTTTAGGTTGCGATGGCTCCCCTGGCTATGGTTTTGATTATGACAATAAGAGATGTCTCGAGAGTTAATTCTCGTGTTTTCGCGCTGCAGAGAGTATGCATGGATGCATCCATTGGCATTGATGTGGGTTTTGACCGAGGTCAGTCCTTGAAGCTAACTGTCTACCGTGGGAATTGGCTGCATCTGAATGGTCGATTTGTATCCTTCAGCTCTCTACGTGTACAGTTCGATTGTATGTCGTCTATCAAGGTTTATGGTTTGATTGCCCTGTCCATCCATCCCATGAAAAATGGAACTGAGGGAGGGGTGATCCTTGGAGTTTCTGTTATTCAACTTTGCCTTTTGTTGGGAATAATCAAACAATGGAGTTGGGGAACTCTTAATCTCATCCCCTCTGCTGGAGATGTTGCCCTCATGTCACACGTTGGTCTTCTTTTGTGATGCGACCGAAGCCGGCCTGGTTTTGGTCCACGTGTCACAGTGCTAAAATTGTCTTTTGATTGACCCGCTTAGCATTTTCAGAGGGACACCAGAAGGGTTTGTTTTGAACAGGACCAAAGGGTTTACAATGTGTATCCGGCTCATTCAGAAGAGCGAGATAATATCGTGCCGTGCATATGTTAGAGGGTGGTTTTTGGTCAGGGTGTGTGAATTGCGGTTCTGGCATCGTTGGCACCGCACCTGGGCGAAGAGTGCGGCAAGAGGGCAAGTGCAAGCAAACTGGTGGCACTGGCAAACAACCTGCCACATCTTTGCAAAATGCCATGCATGCCTAGAGTTTGCATGCAGATTTGACGCACTCCATGCAAATGGACTATTTGCGGATGGTTGCCTGAGCTTTCTGCTTTTTCTGGGGTCAGGGCTGGAAGGACAGCGAGAAGGAGCCGGAGACGCGGAAGGCCTTTGCAGACTCGGGGGTTGACCGGTGAGCGGAAGGCCGACACCATACCAAAGGCAACGAACCGTGCCAGGACGCCAAAAGGGTCACCCCAACCCAAAACAGCATAAAACCACGAAGCTTGCAAGAAACAGGAACAGTTCCTTATGACACTCCGATGCACCATACTCAGTTGTGTTGCTTTTCAGGCAAACATGCTGGCAGTTTGTAGCCCATGGAAAGCCTACTCTGGCAGTGGCTCGCTACACAAGGACATGCGGTGCAGAGAGTTCACTGATTGCGACATGTTTGGCCTGTCAGCATCTAGTTGCAGATCCCGGTTGCTAGAGTCTAGAGAGCCCATATTCGTCAGTTTATCCCCAGGGAAACCCAAAGGAGATGGGCATTTGTTGATTTTATCCAGCCCCTATGCAGCACCTGAGATTCCGTTTGTCAAATAGTCTATGGAGTTTGTCCTCCAGCATTTCCTCTGTTTCTGTATGCCACACGAGTCTGGACTCCCGGTCTACTCTGAAACTCCAAAATGGAGCGAAATGACACGAATGCGGAAACTTCGTGGCACATGTCCCTTGTTTGGGAAGCCCTTATTCTAGGCTGAGTCAAACAGTGTGCCACTTCCGCGCAGGGTTCCAGTATGTGACTACCATGCTAGACTTACGTCTATCTTAGGGTAGAGCAGTGGAATGCTTCCAGGTATCTCTGTTTCCAGTCGCATCGCCAGATGAGCAGTCAACAAATGCGAAGCAAGAGCCGGAGCCGAAGCCCGAGCAGCCGAGAGAAGAGAAGCGCCTTCCAGGACAAAAGCGACGACGCTTGGCTTTAGGGCTTAGGAGCTATGCGAGTTGTTTTGTTTTGTTGTCCTGAGAAAGGTTGCTGTTTGACCTGAGGATCCCCCCCGATTGATCGCGCTAAGAGTGCGTTTGTTTGGCCATGTTGCAGCTTGCCGTGCTTTTGTCCGATTGAGGCTTCTCCGTATCGTTTTGCCTCTTGGTAGCCAATGACTGGAGCGTCAGGTTTGGGCCTGCCCCCTGCACATTTCACATGGTCACACAATGCGCGTTTCCCTGGCTCATGTGGCTAAGGGCGTATGTGAATGCACATAAGGACCCAGAAGATGAGAGGAAGGACGATGAGAGGGAGGCCGATGACAAGGATGACAAAGAGTGGGAGCAGGCGAGCACATGAGTGAAGTCTGACTTATTGCCCTACAAGAGCATGAAAGGCGCAAACACATCAGTATATAACTGTGCGGCATGGTTTCAGGGTAGTCTCCTTTCTGAGATTCTTTGCTTCAAGCAAGGAAAAGGGGCTCCGCACTCCAAGAAAGAGGGTTGTTCAAGACAAGTTAAGAGATTGTATTTTCTGGACTCTTTCACTAAAGGGCCGGAAGTCTTCAGAAAATGCAAGTTTTGCAACGCCGGGCAGGCATTTCATGTGTGTGTGTGGATCACATTTTGTTTAGCTCAAGAACAGCCCTCCACGATGATTGCCCCTAGCGAAAAGTGACCTCAAGGCTATCAAAGAGACCCTTATTGGCTAGACTATAGTTGAAGGCGTCCACTCTTGCTGGTTTACTACGCTTTGTGGAGAGGACGCATTGTGGAGAGACCGTAGCCTTCACAAGCATCCCAACTCGAACTCCTTTGACTGTAGTGCCTTTTCCCCCGTCTGATGGCATCTTCCAACATCCGTGTTCCGCGTCAGCCGGCCATTGGCCAGTTCTACATCAGAGTGATGAAGATGGACATGGATGAGAAGAGACGGAGACACAGCAAGGCGCACTCAGACAAGCGGTGGCGCCTTTCGTAACTTTGCTGGTCCCAGACGATAGCTTTCGATTGAAATCAACTGCAAAAAAAGGTATCGTCTTTTTCCCATGGCAGCTGCAGGGGTCCGGGACCAGTTTTCTGCGAGTTCTTAAGCATGACTTGGATAGGTTTAAAGAAAATCAAGGCCATGGGCAGTGTTTGCAGGGAAGCCTATAAGGGTGTGTGTGGTTTTTGAAGGCAGCCTTGTGGGCTTGGTGTGGAAGAATACTTCGATACGATACCATCCATTTTGGGGGGTTCCCCTATTCAGAGACACACCAAACACGACGAGGTTCAAGCCCTCGTGCTTGAAATATACTTATTGGTTGGATGACCCGACTCTGGTTCAGTTGCTTAGTGGCCCGATGCTAATCCAAGCTTTGGCCTCTCAATGTCAATTACGGCCCCAAAAGCTTAAGCGTTGATATCCAGCTTCTCTGGACAAATTTGTGAATTTGCCTCATAGGTCACCATCATGCAAATACAACATGGCTAAACTTAGGATACATGTCATGAGCAATTGAATGTATCATCAGATAGAGTCTATGGTTAGCAAGGACATTGCGACGTCCATCACAGGCTCCGGTTTTTTGTTTTTCTCTGTAGCTGAGGACTCGACACGTATGGGCCCACATAAAGTAGATTCGTGCTCACACTGCGAAGAAACAGCGGGAGTGTGATGCATGACGTTGACATGTTCATACTTATTGGCCCTGGGGTAGCCATTATCAGTTGGTCTTTTCGGAATACCATCTTTCTTCCGGTGTTGGTGGAAAACGCATCCTTCACTGGAGATGGGGCAGACGCAATTCACCGCCGTCCGGTTCATGGCTTATGCTTCGTAACGCGGGAGGTGGCCTATAATGTACATGGACCAATTGCCCTCAAGCAAACTTTGGAGTGAATCCAATGGCTTGCTCCATGGAGGGATCCGCTTGGGCGCGGCTTTCCTCTAAACAGATGTCTCCACGTGTAGCTTGTTGGCTTTGGACCTCCAAAATTCAAGTTTCAGATGGCGCATTTGGCATCAAGAGGCTCAACGATCAAAGCCCTCCACGCTTCCTCCTGCACAACTGATGCCAGCATGGTAGCATGAATACATTTTGTCCGCTTGGATAATCCTGCCTAGGTAGTCTACTTTTTCATTCCTGCCATTTGGCTTCAGAGTTACATGCAGTTATACACTTGGTCTTTGAGGGAAATGGTCATGACCTGGCACTTGCTTTGGCACATCAAGCAACTGGCGGTCCTGAATTGCCAATTCTTGTTCCTGAGCATTCCCCTGAGAGGTGTTTGATGACAAGGACGAGAAGGCCGGAGGGTTGGGGTGGTGTTAACACGCCAAATGAAACAGGCTGGTTCTGAGGAACCAACCAAACATGAGCATGAGCCCATGGTTGAAGACGTGCAACCCCTGTTTGTGAAACCCGCAGGATCTCCCTCCACAAATCAAGGAGCAGAAGAGCAAACTGGAGGTTTCCGGGCACCCCTGAGAATCCTGTTCACCCACAGCCAACATGTTAACAGCCTTAGAGTTTCGGCAGGGAAGGTCTATGCTGACCCCAGATTCATCCCAACGTTCATGGTGCGCAGATCAGGACGACAAGACATCCGAGCCAGGGCCATCACTTCCAGCAACCGGCTGGGCACCGTCATGGCTGCCTACTCCGAACGGCATCAGATCGGTGGAGCTCTCGCTCTCCAGAAGTGGACATGGTGGTGTTCACTGTTTTGGTGTTCGGCATGCACTCTTGACATGGCGCTGCACCGCACGGGCGTTTTGAAGCACAAACCCTTACGTGGGTTGATGGGGCAATCGTTGACCCATTTGCCCGGACATGAAGTTATTGATTGCAACAGGGAGCCATTCCCATCTCTTCAAGGTTGCCAACATTTGGCATTTGCACTCGCGCCAAAGGAACTATTTACTTTGACGTTGATGCGCATATAGGGCAGAAACAGAACCAGACTCGCTAAGGTTGTTTGGCAACCTTTGCGCTTAGGATCGCGTCAGACGGCTCGTTGGGACACGCGATCCTTGAATGAATGCATGCGTGGCTTCAAGGTGAGGCCTACGCCGGGGAGAGTGAAGGGGAACTGGCGAAAGCGGAATACAATAACAATTTCGTCTTCGGACGAAGGCCGTCCGAGGCTTGAGAGGAGCTGCTTGATAACGCCCTGAAGTCAACAACTTGACGAGTCTGCCTGCCGGAAAGGATGAGAGGAAGTTGTCAATGAGGGCAGGTGCCGCCAATGCAGTGCCAATGCGCCATAGCCACAGGTTAAGGTTGCCAACAAAAACTCCAGCTTCCCCGAGACAGAGTTACGTTTGACTGGCCAAGCAAAGCAAGTCACGCCTTTTGCGATGCTACGTTTGCAACGCCCATTCGCGCAGATTGGCTTTGCTATGCTTTCGCTTAGTATTTGGGGGGAACTCTCTTTATGCCGCAGAGGGACCTCGTAAGCAATCCTGTTGGGGAAGACCGATCGTGTAGGCTGTCCGCGTAGGCTGTTCAAGAGTTCCTGCGTAGGCAAGTTCGCGAAGGCATGTTTTCACACAAACTTATGAGAAGCGCCCGAGCAAAGTCTGCTTGGGCACTCCGCATACGCGCCTGCGCTTGTGGCGTAGGCTCGCATAGGCACCCTTCTATGGTTTTATACATCCGTAGGCATGGCTACCAGGGTATAGGGCCAATAAAAGGAAAAAATACTCTACCCCATTTGCTCGATGAAAGCCTGTGGACTCCGCCTAGCAAGGACACTCCATCGGGTTCAATCGGGCACCACGTGTTCCAAAGTCTTGACGGCGAAGTTAGATCTTGGATTGAAGGGGTTGGTTGGTTTTGGCGCTTACAGCTCAGGTCGGCAACTTTGCACTCGAACGTGGGCTTGCATGATTGAAAACACCGAAACCTTGTTGCATGTGTTTGCGCAAAGCCGTCGTCCTGCAATTCAATTTGAAGCCGTGCCGTGAACAGAAGTTGCAATTTGGCCATGTGAGGCCCTTCAATGTTGAAGGCATGGGGCATTTTACCTATTCAGACCTGAGCTTTTTTTATTTTGTGCCGGCAGCTGCACCATTTACTTCCAACATCTATCCAACTGCAATATGGCTATGGGTCAAAACCCCGTCCCCTCCGTGAACATACCAATCCCCACTAAAATAGACTAACAAGGGTGTTGCACCTACCCCAAAATGGTACCATTGGTTTTGACCCACGGCCATATCTCCGCCACTTCTTGCAAGCTCGTCACGAGTTTCGAGTTTTTTCCCCCGGGCCCTGTGCCCAAAATATGCCCAGCGTGATCCTTTTTTTTCACATTGCAGGTGGTTGTGGAGGCGGGTGGACTGGACTTCGGGCCATGGTGGTGATGTTTGTAGCTTCGACCAAGTAGAGAAAAGTCTGTGGCATGTGTTCAGGGACGGAAGCCGCCCACCCAGAGGGTTAGAACTTCTTAGGAATTCTTTCAGATCCCCATCAAAAGTCAGTTGAACCCTGTTTCCCGTTTTGTTTGGTCGGGTTCGCTCCAAACACGCGAAAATGGCCCGCCCTTTTTGATCACTGGGCAACTGGGTTGCTGCCAACATGAGCCGCGTGAAGCGTCGGCGACGAAGTGCTGCGCGAGTTGTTCAACTTGTTTTCTGTTGCAGGGTAAATTGATTCCACCAAATTGTTGGAACTTCATATTGATTTCCTTTCGACGCCATCCTCAAGCGGCTTCCCATCGTTTACACTGATGGCATGCGACGGGATCCCTGGAATCCAACTGTCTCAAGTGCAAGGACTTCACCTAGCGAACCATCCACAAATTTGACAAAGGCAAATACATCTTGTTTGGGCAATGTGGCTATGCCATGCTAAGCCCTATGCGTCCCAGCCCAGGTCTCATGACCATGTGTGTACATCACCTCTGTTGTCCAGTGCCGCTGGCCGTTTGAGGCAATCCCTAGCCAAACAGCTGCTTGCGTAGGTGTCCTTCTCAGGTGAGTTTGGTTGAACAAAGATGGGAAACCACTGGTTTGGGTTTCTTAATCATTTGCCAGTGCTGGAACCCATCCATTCGCCCAAAAGGACCCCGGTCTTGTATGAACCTTTTGGAGTTATCAATTTTAGAGGATTCTCCTTTTGAGTCATCCCCTTTGGGGTTCCTTCCGGTAAGTTGTAAGGTCTTGGGTGTCTTAGCATGCCACGAACAAACGTGGAAGCCCAGGCACCATCCCAGCTGTCCCCACTTGGCCATGAATTTCAGTTGACCCCCCAAAAGTGGTGGACATGTGTAAAGGTCCCTATTATATTTGAAGGTTCCTTTTAAACATAGCTTTTCCCTATTTGAAGGTGCCATCAAGAAAAAGCTTTGAGTGCCCAATTTGTGGTGTGTTTTTCAAAATCATGGTCCCCAAAAGCCAAAAGCGCGGGTCCCGAACTCCGCTGGGCTCAGCTCCGGGTTCTCGGTGGCCAGGAGCCGGTGGAACTGCCGCTGGAGAAGACGGAGATCCAGGAGGCGGATGACCATCGATTGGAGTCGACGAGGGGAGTCGAACGAGTCCCAAGACGAGTCCCCAACACTTGGTGGATTTTTTCTAGTCGGTGTTCCTTTCAAAAGCTTGAAACCAAAGGCAATCCAATTGGAGGGTCCATTTGGGGTTCATGGTGTTCGAGAATCCATACCGGTTCCGCTCCAGCCCGTTTTGGGCCGTTCTCGTTTGGGAGATTCAGATTCAATGTGCTTCCCTCCAATTGCAGGCTCCTTGTGCGGGCTACTGAAATTGATTGGGCAGCCAAGTTCGAAGTCCAAGAAGTTCCAGTCGTCTTGGATTGGTATTGTACAGAACCCGGAAGCTCGGTGAGTGATTTGCGCAGATAGAAACTTGGGCGCGGCAGTCGCGGCCGCGAAGTTTCACGCATGATGAAGGCTACTCGTAAAACTCGGACCCCTTCAACACTATGTCCCAATCATCTTCCTGGTTCCACACCCAAAAATGGAACCTTCTTTCAGGGATTCGGTTTTCTTGCTGGTGCTCAGTAGGGAATGACCCAAGGTGTTGGGAATGAACCTAGGGATTCCCTAAAGGAAACCATACGGGATGGATAGGGCCCATCCCTTCTCGAACCAGCAAGTCTTGTCCATGGCACGAGGCGGACGACACGGTGGAGCCCATGGAGCTTCCCGAAGAACCTGAGCCAGAGGAGAAGCCGAGCAGCGAGGTCTTGCTATTCACCATTGTTTTCTATAACTTGAACACTTGCCCTTTCGGCTGGCGGTGATTTTCTGGCCAGAAGGATAAATAATCCATGAAGGAGAATGGAGAAGTTGCCCTTAAACCCACCGGAGGATGCATGACCCTGGAGGCCGGCATTGCCTGAAATGAGAGGTTGCGAAGCAGCGTAATCCTTTTCAAGGGAAAACCGTGTGCTTGTAGAGGACATGGCTAAGCATATCGGATATTCGCAACTGCCTGAATCAGGACCAGCCCACCAGACAATGGTACAACAATGCTGGGGCCCTATGATGATGCTTCCTTACTTGGGGTTTTGTTGTTCAGATACTGTTCTGTAGATTCATACCTCCGCGTGACCATGGTCTGGGGCGGCTCGACTGAGTCCTTGAGGCCGAACCCTCACCGTGCTGCGTCTTTGCTACGTATGTGACTTTGAAACATGTTGTCCCTTGGAGAAGCCCGAATTCCTTCGGCTATGGATTTGCGTGTTTGTTGTTTGTTGTACAGTAAGAACTTTGAATGACAAGCCAACATCAGCAGAAATACAGTGAATATCATGCATTGTCTGAATTTGATTGGCTTACTGCGACCCTCCCCTGCTGCGGTTGGCTATCGCGCACCCTTCGCAGTCTTGCAAAGCTGAGGGCTAAGAGCATCTTGAGCCGTGCCAAATGCCCCATTTCTTTGAAGTTTCAAGGGAGCCAGCAGATGGATTATCGATTCTCATTTTTTCCCAGACATCCTGCCACTTGGGTTGGCTTTCGAGGAGCCGGCAGACTCGGAGCCGGAGCCGTCGCTGCCGCCGCGGCCCGCGCTGCCCGCGCTGCCTCCCCCGCCCCCGCCGGCGCCGGCAGTGCGCGCGGGGCCCCTGAGCCGCGTGCCGCGAGGCTTGCAGCCGAAAGGCTCGCAGCCGCCGCCGGAGCCAAAGGCGCTGCCGAAGGTGCTGCCGAAGGCGCGGTGTTGGAGATCCAGGATGTCTTCCTTGGAAAGGGGGGTTACAAAGTCACTGGCTGGGTTGAAGATGAACACATGTCTATCCACGTGGGTGGGTGTGCGTTTGCGTTGCGAGTGAGTTGGTATGTGTTTGTGTTTCTCTGAGTGTGTATCCGGGTCTGCTCTTCTGTCTATCCGGGTATCCGGGCATGCGCCTGCCCTGCGTGGATCCCCAGCGGATCTTTTCTTTAGCTGTCTCTTTGTGTCGAGTCTGTGTCTGTTTGTGTCCGTGTGTGTGTGTGCCCGTCATCATTGGAGTTTATGAGTCAAGTGTTGTGTTATGCTTTTTGTTTCAGGAGACCCTTGCTTGCTTGCAACGCGCAACTTTTTCGGATGGAGCTTTGGACATGTAGACAAAAGCGATGAGGACCCTTATATTGGCACAAAAGGCGCAGTGGAGCAGATTCGAAAACCGTAAAATGAGTCGAGCTCAATGGCCAAGTGGATCAACCTGCCATCCATATCCACATTCTGAGGCATGGGCCTGCGAGATGACTTTCTTCAATTCGCACTTGGACCTTGATGAAATGTGATCCAGAAGCAAACCGACGCTTTTGGAACACGTGCGCGTATGAATGGCGATATCTGTGGCGCAACAACGTCTTGGCTGTGTTTCGCGAGCAAGTAGCGCTTTGAGACAGTTGTTTGTTTATAGTATGATGCTACACATACATACAGCAACGCGACAGACTCAAGACAATGCCAACATGGCCTGGAGGTCGTGATTGCTCTAGAGCAAACTCCCACGTGACGGCAATGCTGGTATGCTCACCAACGTAGTCAATTGCCCAGCATACGCACGATGTGGCGTGCGCTCTTCCATCGACACGTGCCTGTTGAGATTGCTGCAAAGGCCTTGCTTGCCGACGCTCAATGCCACCTGATGTAAAGTAAGCATGCCTGCTTTGACCTCTTGCCCTTTTTCCAACAATCATGGAAGCTGACAGGAGGGTTTTGGAAGACTAGTCTTGGGGAAGCCCACGATCGTCCACTTCCATGATTGAACAGATGGGTTCTCTCACCGTGGGACCTGAGGCAAGAGCCCATCGCATCTACGCTGTCAGCAAGCGGATCAACACTCTCTTTTATTCTCACTAATGTCAACATCAATGTAGGTTTTGGACGGTTTTGGATTGATTGGGATGCAGACACTTGGCGCGCCTCCTATCAGGATTGCCAGGGGAACGCGCAAGTGAGATCCGTCACACATTCTATATTCAGAATGCCCCTTCTGCACATGTGACCATGTACAGCTTTTTGCCAGTTGCTTTGAACACATGTGCAAGGATTCAGTTGACAACTATCAACTTAGCAACAGAAGCACACTGTGAATAGCCGTTGTAGTTGATTCATGTGTTGGGGTCTGTTTGTGGTTCTGTGCAGCCGAAGGAAACACCCAGCAACATACCCGGAGAACCCCTTTCCAAGTTGGTTTGTTGCCTTCGTTGTTTGGTGACGTGATATATAGCTAGGTCTTTGAGTCGTTTCCTGCGGACCCACATGGAAGACCTTTTGAAGAGCCTGCATTTGGTTTGCAATTTTGGGTTCCTCCCCAGGTTTCCTTGGAAGCACCATCCAAGAGGGGACTGCTTTTCTGACTTCAGGACATGCCCAGGTGAACTGTAACTGAATAGCTTTCAGATTGCTTCCGTTGAACCCAGTTGACGGGTCCAAGACTGTATTCAGTCACCAGCTCCATCGGGGCAATCAACTCAAGCTGGATCGTTCGAATTGCTTGGCGAAGCATGCTAGCGTTTGAAGTTGCCAAGGATCTTCCTTGTTTTTCTTCTTGGAACCCCACATTTGTGCGTGTGTTACCTGTTGACTGTTGACATGGACTTTTCCGCCCAGTGCCTGGCCATAGTTTTCTCCAGGCACCAAAGCGAGGGAGTGCGAGCTACAAGAAAGACGAGGCTGCGAAGAAGGAGGAGGAGGAAGAGTCGTGGATCTGGCCTCGCGAGGCGCGACAGGAGGTGTGCCACGTGAGGTAGCTGCCGATTTGTTTCGGTCAAATGGCACCGGAAGCCGGGGACGCATTTGGAATGTTCGCGGACCGTTCTGTGCGCCTAGCCACTCTGCGCAAGCATCGGAGTACTCTTGGAATTGGTATGTTATGGGAGGCCAGTTGATTAAAGATAACTGTTCTTTGTCAGTGATGTCTCGTTATTACTTTGTTGAAGATCCAGATCAATGTCAGATGAGGCTTTGCGCTCTGGAGCCAAGGACAAAGTACGGGTAGCCATTATGGAGCCATGGGCACAATGATCATTGAGAATATCATAGTGAAATACCAAATGAAGAGACACATACAAATCCATGAGTCAGTTTTGACCTGCGGTTGTTTGAGGGCTTGAAGCACCCCCAGAAAGCGGCTCTTTTGCACAACTTCGAGTTTCCTTTGTCCGTACAATTCCGCAAAGGGGAAGCAACCCCTATTCTGACCCCCGTTGAGTGGGACCCGTCTCCAGACGTTTCGCGGGTGGTTGCTGACGAGTGTTTGAACTACCTTCTTTTGGACGTTTTTATGTCTGTAAACTGTTTAGAAAGAAAGCGTGACAACCAGTAATCTACTTGTTTCGTCGACTTCATGTACTAAATTAACACTGGAGCCAGAAGCATTTGCGCTTTGGCATGGCATGGCATGGCACCCAAAGTTACCGTAACCTGCCCATGCCCATTGGCGCGCGCTGGCGCGACAAGCGAAGCAAAATGGGGCTTCCACACTGACACACATCACGCAGGCCACTGGGACAGTGACTCATTCATCTAATTCTGTCAGATTGACGGCAAGCGTCAAGCAAGTTTGGGCCCCAGGGCAAACAACCCTTTTATACCGGTTCCTAATTTCAAGATTTATGCTAGTTTCCTTGCAGGCAGGAGGGGAGCTGTGCGGCACTAACAGCGACCTGAGATTCTGCAGGGAGATGCTTTTTCAAGACATGTGTTGACCATGATCAGGGCTGCGCCCAAACTTGGGAAGCAACAGAACCCGAACAGTGAACATCGCCTAGTAGGCGCAGGCTGCGTATGCGTTCCTTTAGGAGGGCGCACCTGTTGGAGTCGACCGCGATCGCCTCGCATGCCAGGACCCGAGGAGTAAAGCTTCACGAATCGCCTACGCGGACAGATTCATGACGCGAGCCCCTAGGCTGCACCTAGGTGATTCAGTTGGGAAATGATGTTTGGGGTGATTCTTGGTGATCCAAGTCAGCAACTGAACCTGTTTCCCTTCAATCTTTCACGAAGGGTCGACTTGAACGTGGTAAAAACCTGCGGCCAGTATGTGCTTTGTGGTTTTGTGTGTCTTTCTCGCATAGTTTCAAGTGGGGGGGACTGAGCTGCTAAGTTCTGGCTTGACGCAACACATTAGGCATCAAAACGGCACACCATTACGAGCGTAGCATTGCTCTGCCAAATGTAGGTCCATCGTCGCTGTATGTAACGAGCAGTCCATGTTCATGACGACCAGTGGTAGCCTTTAGTTGGGAGTCAGAAGCCACCAATATTGGCAGCGGTGGATGGCTTCCCTGATGACTGCACGTGACCGGGACCAAAGACACACGCGCACACACACACACACACACGTGCAACACACACACACACACACACGCACACGCGCGCACACACACACACACACACGTGCAAAGCATAATATGGGGCTGTCTCAAAGTATTAGACTATCAAATTCCGTTTTTTCTCCCTGAAATCAACCAAAAGGGTACCCGCAACAAAGACACACAATTGAAACCAGGTTCTCCGATTTTCGGAGCCTTGGCAAATGAAATTTGGCTGACCAGATGTGCGGTGGTTTCAGGGGTTGGGTCTCTTTGGCGCAGGCTGCGGCAAAGGCCCGCACCATGGCCAAACTGACCAACTTCCAGTGCCACTGCCGGGGTAGCCTGAGCGACCTAGGCGAGAACAAGGCGCGGACGAATGCCAAGAGCAGGCTTTTTCAGATTGGGCTTGTGTTGCTCCCGTTTGCTTGGCCCCCCGCCAAAAAATCTAGTTGCAGGGGACTCAAGAAAGATGTGGTTGAAGATAAATGGCACAAAAGCAAGTGAACCGGAGATCTACACATTTGGCCTTGGCCCGGTGGGTTTCTGAGGACCTTGCTTGAATATGGCCTCGGTTATGCGCGCTTTCAAAAGCGCAGCAAAGCAGTACGTTTACATTGCTGGTTTCCAACCGTTAGAGAGTTTGCCTGTGGGGTGATGGTTGCAGGATAGATGTAGGACTCGAGTTGAACCTTAGATCCAATAGGTCAATTTGGTTTAGGGTTTGCTTGTTGACTCCTTGACATAGAACCATAGAGGCTATCCAGTAATGTCCACTTCGGATGTGTCACAAAGGCCGCAAAACACTCGGCAAGGCTAGAAAGAAACTCGACAAGATGTAGCCGTATCGTAGCCTCTTCTTCGTAAGTTCATCGCCTGTCGAGATCGTTCACAGTGGGACTTTGGGTGCGGTGATGTACAGGTAGATGCATGGATCTCGAGGGTAGCACACACACACACACACAGAACCCCCGAGTCCAAAACCAGAACAACCAAGACTCGCGAATCATCATGTCCTGCAATCAATCTTTCAAAGGAGATCTCCCCTGGTCGATGAACCTCGAACGCACGTGAACATGTTTGGCCAGGGCAGCTGTCAGCGAGACGTTCACACGGACCGTGCCAAACGGAGGAGCCTTCTCAAAAAGTTGATTTCATGTTTGTCATGATATGTTGATGGGGTGATCCAGAATTATGATGGGTGACCAAAATGGACGTCCACCCTTAGATAGAATCCACAGCTGCGAGGAACCATTTTAGATCGCGTCAGTCCCATCATCCACTGCGGATCGTTGGATGACAAAACTAAGGATGCTTGCTGGCGTGAGAGCTCGATCGCCTGCTTGCTCGCCCGCTCGCTCGGCAATACATTGCATGCGGACACTCTGGTGCAGAAAGGTCACCAGCTCGGTGGTCAGTGGTTGGCTTTGGGAGGCAAAATGAACTCGGGCATGCGCCCCAAGCCAACGTAAAACAGGGTAGTCTGACCAGAGTTTTTTTCAAGCATAAGTTGAACAGAATTTGTTTGTTGCACAGACTAACATGCTCGAGTCCAGCAGCTGAGTTGGCGGTTGGCCCAACCGTGCTTGGCATCCTTTCAGGCAATGTGGCAATGTGCTGCCATTACAGGCAGGGCGTTCTTCTCGGGTTTTTGGCGTTTATTGCATTGCTTTTGGCGTGGTGTTGGTTTGTTAAATATTCTTGCAACTTCCAGCTTTCTCTTGTCTTCTATATTTGCGCCCTCACACATACTGGAGGTTCTTTTCTTAGGGGGTCGGGTTGCGGAATTATCGTTGTGAACCATAGGGGTTCATGTATAGGCAACAAACCATGCACAATGGAGCCGTTTTTTGTGTCGAGGAAAAGACCGCTTCTGAATAGCGGCACCACAGGTTATGAGCCCAAACCCCCAAAACAGGGGCCCTCGCTCGGCAATGGAACCGACAAGGGCATCAGGAAGTGGAGAACCTCGAGAAAGGCTCGATTCTGCCGAAGGAGAAGAACCGGAGGTGGAGGGCCTGGAGATCATAGGGCAGGAAATGGTGCCCTTTGCTGGAGGCAGAGGTGGTGAAGCCGCTTGAGCTCACGGCAACACCACTCAAGCCAGGCCAGAGTCGATCCGGAGCCTCCACGCAGGTGGCCAAATGGACCGGAAGGAGAGCCAGAAGCTATGAAGCCTCTGTTCACCCCGGAGCAGATCAGGGAGTTCAACAAGTGGGACGAGAAAGCACCGTTGCTGAGGGGACCGCGGATGGACCAACCGAGGCCGGCGCACTTGCCCGTGGAGAGTAGCCTGGAGGGAGACAATCCGGGTGGTGGCCAACTTCGACCGAGGTCCTTACCCATGGAGAACCCGGAGCCGGAGGGCCAGATGATGAAGATGATGGCGGTGTCTCAGGATGCGAGGACGACACCATTGGCAACGGGAGTGGACCCGGTCTACCTCACGCAGATGATGCAGGAGCTGAAGAAGCAAGGAAAGGAGACGGACGCTGACTACGGCACGCCGGAAAGCCGGGAGAAGGTGAACGGCATGATCACGGTCAGGGACAATCAGAACCACGAGCCCTACGGCCCGACTCGCGACCCCCCGAATGGCAAGGTCGGAGAAGGCGGACTTGGAGCTGGTGGTGAAGAAGGAAATGCTCGGGATGAGCACGACGGCGGTGCCTCGGAAAGGGCAAGCGATGTGGCCGGATCCGGAAAGGATGGCAACCAGATGGACGTAATGCTGAAGCTCATGGAGGGCATGCAGATGATGCAGAAGCAGCTCTTGGACCAGAAGGAGAAGCAGGAGACCATCGAGACGGTCAAGGCGGGCTTCACGGAGTTGCCTTGCCTGGGCGAATTTAGCCCGGAAAATGGTCCGATAGATCTAGGGGACTGGTTCACCATCATCCATCCCCTGATGTCGGACCTGAGTGACAGCTCGATGGAATGGTGGGATGTACTCTTAAAGGAGGCCCGCGAGTGGTACGAGGAGTACATGAAGGAGATCCCGCTGAACAGGGTCAACATGGTGCCCAAGACGCCGGAGGTGTTGGGGCTAAGGAAATGGAGTCGGTTGGAAAGGCGGGCAGCTTCGCTCATCATCCAGGCGGTTCCGGAGACGGTGAGAGACGAGATGATCGCCACGAATACGGTGTCGGCCTACGGGGCGATCTGCAGGCTTCTGGTAGTGTATCAACCAGGAGGTCTTGGAGAAAAAGGAGTGGTACTACGGGCGTTGGAGGAGCCGGTGGAAGCTGCTACGATCCCGGAGGCACTCAAGGGTTTGAGAAAGTGGCTGAGGTGGCGGCGGCGGGCGAGCGAGATGAACTTGGCGTTGCCAGACCCTACGGTCATGATGAGGGGACTCAGCAAGATGATTCGAAAGGTGGTGGAGACGAACCGGGAGCTGACGTTCCGGATTTCCCTTGCCCGGAACACGCTGCGGGTGGACAGTGTGCCGACGCATGGAACGGTGCAGCAGTTCGCGGAGCATGTCTTGGCCGAACTGGAACAGAGCAACCAGAAATGGGGGGGAGAGAAAGGTGACAAAACCCGTGGACGCCAAGATCCGGAAGGTCGAGACAGAGAAGGAGCAGGGGACGGGACGCAGAGACCTAGTTTGCAGGTTCTACATGAAGGACGCTGGCTGCAGAAAGGGCCGGAGTTGCGAGTGGCAGCATCCCACGGATGAGACCGCAAGAGGACGCTGCTGGGAGTGTGGATCAGTGGAACACATGAGGAAAGACTGCCCCAGAAAGCAGAAGCCGACATCACCCGAGAAGCCGGCGGCTGTGAGAAGGGTGGCCCAGGAGAACGACGTGGCGACGACACCGGCTTCAGCACCCTCACCCAAGAAGGAGGAGATCAAGCCGATCCGGGAGAAGGAAACGGTAGTGGAAGATTCGAGGAAAGACGAATCTATGGGTGGGGTGTTGCAGGAAGCAGCAAAGATGCTACGGAGCCTCAACGCCTCGCAGGGAGTCAAGAAGGTGGACGAGAGGAACGACCGCTTGGACGACCTGCAGAAACAGCTGAATGGGTTGAGATCCGGGTCTCTCAAACGGGCCCAGGTAAACGCTCAGGGGAGGTGGAGTGATGGTGGGCTACTGGACTCGGGAGCTACGCATCCTCTACGTGCCCGGCAAGAAGGTGAAGACATCGAGAATCTGGACGAGATCGATGTTGCCCTGGCCGGAGGAGAGATGAAAGTCATGCGGATCACGGAGGGAGGCATCATCGTCCAGGAGAACCAGGGCGTGGGCTCCATCATTCCGTTGGGTGTGCTGGTGGAGAGGTTGCACTGCGTGGTGACGTGGAATGGGGAGGAGTGCCGCGTGGTACATCCAGAGCTGGGAGCGTTGCCCCTATGTGACCCAGCGGACGGCGACGAAGTTGCTCGGGGAGCTTGAGAAAAAGGGGAAAGAGAAAAGGAAGGGCCGGATTAGCGAAGTAAAGCTAAAGAAGGTCCTGGACTGGGAAACGGTCAGAAAGGTGGTGGAACTACATCCTGCATTTCGTGACCTACCGGAGGAGGTGCGAAGGAAGGTTCTGGCGGAGCCGGCGGAAACATTGCGGGCAATTCCATGGAATCGAAGACGGAGACGATCCTTGGAGCAGAAAGGCCGGAAAGCCATCCTGCACCTATACGCGGGACCCCGTGAAGGATACACCCTGGAACGGGCGGTGAAGGAGCTTGGAGGCGATCACATGGACGTCTTGGAGATTGATTTGCAGCGTGGGCCGGAGCACGACATGATGTCGGACGAGCTCTATGCAGCCCTGCTGCGGGGCGCGTTGGATTCCCGTTTCGATGCGGTGGTGGGTGGACCGAATTGCCGGACCCGGAGTGTGCTCCGACACTATCCACTACCTGGCGGTGGTCCACGACCGGTTAGGTCACCAGAAGAGCCGTTTGGGAGGAGTGACCTCACGACGCATGAGAAAAAGGCGGTCTGGGAGGACGACGTGATGATGTGGCGGATGTTGGCCATCTACCTGGTGGCGGAAGAAGCGCGGAATGCGAAGGGAGGCCCACAGGTTGGCTTCGTGTTGGAGCAGCCGGCGGATCCTAGGAAGTACATGCCTGGATGCCCGACCTTTTGGGGAACGACCCAGTGGGAACCATTTGAGGAGATGGAAGGCATGGCCGAGTACGAGTTCTACCAGGGGGACTTCGGAGGAGCAGCACAAAAGCCGACAACATTGGGGACCAACCTCTACATCGACCTGCCTGAGAGAAGGGTGACAGGGCTGGTGTCGAGAGCCCGGATGGAAGAGGTGGACCTCAGAGACTCGAAGAACCTCGCAAGGTGGGCTCCAGGACTCATGAGAGAAGTGGCGAGAGCGATTCTGACGCAGGTCAGGAAGCAGGTGGTGAAGCTGCGGAAGCTGAGTTGGCAAGAGCACATCGCGGCGGGACATTGCCCGATGAGGAGGGACTGCCAAGTTTGTCAGGAGGCTAGTGGTCAAGACCGACCCCATAGGAGGATCAAGCACAAGCACGCATACTGCCTTTCGTTGGATTTAGCCGGACTGCTGAAGAAGGGAAGAGACATCGACGGGCGGAGCTGCCATGGCCGAAGCATCCGCTTGGCGCGATTGCATAGCGACAGGGGCAAGGAGTTCATGAACCATGCCTTGCGCCGGTGGTTCTTCAACCGGGACATCGCGAAGACGAGTACGGCGGCAGACGATTGGAGATCAAACGGGCGAGCAGAAGTGGCCATCAAGCACTTGAAGTCAAGAATGAGGAGAGTGCTCTTTGCAGCCGAGGTGGATGGACAGTGGTGGCCAGCTGCAGCTCGGTATGGTGATGGTGAAGAAAAGGAAGTGGAAGCTGGGCCCAAGGCACGTCAAGGGAGGTATCTGGCCCCGGTGGTGGACGTACCAAACGGTCACGCCGTGATGAGAGAGGATGGAACAGTCCAGGTGGCTGCCTATGTGCTGCACAAGTGGAAACCTCTCCCGGAGCCGGTGGACGGGTGGCAATTCGTGGAAAGGAGAGGTGATGAGGGAGAAGAGCGCGAGCCGGAGGAACCCTATCGTGTCCGGAGGAGGATAAGAGATAAGACCCAGAAGAAGGTGTTGGAAGATGAAGGGGTTCTGGTGAGGCTGCGGGCGCTCAGAACCACAATAGAGGAGGAAGAGAAGGCGGTGACGAACGACGAGCCGGAGGTGATGGACATTATGGTAAAAGCCCTAGAAGGTTTGAAGAAGGAAGAAGAGGAGTTGAGGAGCAGCACAGAGGTGGAAAAAGACGAGGAGCAGATACTCCAGACCAAGATCGTCAGTGCCAAGGAGGTGGAGATGAACCTGGAGGATTGGAAAGTGCCCATGAAGAAGGAGCTGGACACCATCGTGGAAGAAAAGGGCGCAATCACCAGGCTCGACCCGGCATCGGCGAGGGAGCTGCTGGAGAACAACCCACGGGTGCAAGTACTACCCGGGAAGGGGGTGTTCACAATCAAACCAGGAAGGAAGCGTAAGTGCCGACTGGTGGTGTGCGGCAATTACGGGGAGTCTCACGAGGCCATGCCGCTCTTCGCGGGGGGCACGGACGTGGTGGCTTTGCGGTTGGCGTTGAAGGAGGCGGCGGTTCGCGGGTGGCAAGGAGGCACAGTGGACGTGAAAGGAGCCTTCCTGAATGCCCCGCTACAGGCAGTTGACCCCGCAGAACCTTACCGGCTCCTCGCTGAACCAGCTCTCTTCCGATGACTCCCACGTGCCCTTGATCTTCTCCATGAGGGCTTGAGGCACTCCTTCCACGCCCAACGGCATGAAGTCGTCCACGTAGACTAGCAGTAGGCCGACCAGCTCCTCCGGATTCAAGTCGTCCTCCACCTTCTTCACCAGCCACAGATTCGGTTCGCTCCTCATCTGCTCCAACTTCAGCCAACGCTTGCCATAGTTGATTCTCCACCTCCTCATTTCGTCGTCCCGGTAGTCCGACCAGCACCTCGGACTCTGCCGTAGGCTGTACACTGCCTTGTTGACGGTCCACTGAACATCTCTGTGACGGAGCAGGGAATCACCTTGGACCAGATCACTGGCAAGTCGGTGATCCCCATGAGCAAGGAGTGCAGCGAGCCAGAGGCAGAGATCGGGATCACGGTGGAGGAGATTCAGACGGGTCAGCGACTGGTGGGCGAGTTAATTTGGCTGGTCACCCGGAGCAGACCTGATCTGGCCTACGTGGTGTCGCTTCGTGTCCAAGGCTCCACGATGGCAGAGAACCGCGACCCAAACACTGCGGCACCTCAACGCGACCAAGACGGAGGGCATCCTGCTGGACAAGGACATGGGGGAGGACACAGATGGAAGAAAGAGTAGAGGAGCGGGCTTGGAGGTGATCACGGATGCGAGCTTCGCGCCGGGCGGCGAGATTAGCCATGGCTGTGTAATGGTCAAATGGCAGGGATCAATGCTGGCGTGGAGATCTTCGAGGCAGAGCTTCCCTACGCTGTCGACAGCCGAGTCCGAGCTGATGGAGATGATAGAGGGAATGGTTCTTGGGGACTCGGTAGACGCGTTGATCCAGGAGATCAAGACGGAGATGGACTATTCGCGGACTTTGGTCGGGGACAACCAAGCGGCGGTCGCGCTGTGCACAGGAGATGCTGGATCGTGGCGGACGCGTCATCTTCGTCTGAGAGCGTTCTATGTGAGATGGAGAGTGCAGATGGGGGACTGGCGGATAGTGCATCGGATGGGCGCCAATCTGGTCGCCGACATGGGCACGAAGTGTCTGCCGGGAACGCCTACGTGATCTGCGCAAGATGGCAGGTTTGGTGGAGATTGGAGCACCAAAGCCAGAAGAAGGAGGAGCCCTGGAGGTGGACCTGGAATAAGGAAGGGCAGCGTTGGCCATTTTGGCATGCTGCATGCAAGTCCAGGCGGTGGCGGCGAAAGAGGAGAAAGTCGAACAAGAAGATCAGGGAGACTACAACGCCCTGGTCGGCTTCGGCATCCTGGTGGCCCTCTTCACGGCTCTGGCAATCAAGGTGGCGGCGATGGTGAAAGAGGCATGCGAGAAGAGAAGCAGAGGGGAATCTGCATCTATAAGGGCGATGCGTGGACACAACAAGATGCCGGCGGGTGACGAAGAAGAGGAGTCGGAAGAAGAGTCGTCGAGAGCATCGGCATCAACTACAAGGAGAAGATCCACTACTACCGGAGGTGGCGGAGGGTCAGAAGCATTGGGTGCTAGACCAAAAGTAGCACCAGAGGCCTTGAGGAGGCAGTTAGAGAAGGGAAAGGGTGGAAGCGGCTCTGGAAAAGGAAAAGGGAAGCCGATCTTCAATTCACCATGGAGGAGAGAGTATGCGAGGAGAAACCCCAATCCGCCTTGGAGGAGTGAGGACCAACCGCCAGAACATTTGCTGTTCTTCAACAAGAAGGACAGGATCGCACACCACACCAGAGAGTGCGCCGGAAGTCGAGCAGAGGCAAGGTATGTCTGCACATGGTGCTTCGAACAGGAGCTCCGGATGCAAGACGTGGAAGAGGAGCAGACGGTCCCAGTCATTGTGAGGGACTGGAAGCCGGTGCTCACCACAGACTACGGGGTCAGGTACCACTACTCCCTGAACTGCCCCACTTTGGCGGCTACACGGAGGTGGAGCGCCTTCGACAGGTGCCGACGATGCGCCGGAGTCAGAGGGAGGAGGTACGCCAGGATCCCGGGGTGATGATCTACATCGAGGACGGCTTGAGCTGAGGGGCAGGACCGGTAGCGCAGGTGCAAGCCTAACGATATGTACCTGGGAGGAGTGTGAACCATAGGAGTTCATGTATAGGCAACAAACCATGCACAATGGAGCCGTTTTTTGTGTCGAGGAAAAGACCGCTTCTGAATAGCGGCACCACAATCGTAATTCACCCTGATGTTTGAAGAACATGCAAATCAGCCGTCTCCTGAAAATTGTGGCCAGTTTTGGGGAACGCTGAACGCCCACGTCGGATCACGCAGGCCCCGCGGCTCAGCTTTCGCCCATCGCAAGATTTTATTAGAGCCCACGAAGTTCCTTTTTTAATTTTTGTTGGAGGGTTGCCCTTTAAAGACAACTAGCCAAAAAGATACCCTTTTATCCCCATGGTCACTGAGGGTCTGGGATATCATCTGCCTGCCCCTCTACATGAGATCCGGTTGGTTTGTAACATGGCGTCGGCCTTTGCCCGCTCCAGTGTGTTTGTGCACCGTTTTGGTTGTTGAGTGTTTCCCAAAGCAGATCCCCTCATTTTGTCCCGTCCACAGAGCCCTTGGTTGACATGTGACGATTGAGAATGCATTTGCCCGCGCCCGCCGTTTTGACTTCACCCGATGAGTGACTGCAGGAAGGGGCGGATTTTCAAGAGTATCGTCACCCCGAACGGTTTGCGGACGGGCGAGTCTCCAAGAACCCCCTCAAAAAAGCCCTTGAACTCTCCCCAACATCGCCCCCAGCCTGCCAGAACCTCTCCGACATTTCCCAGCTGTCCGCTGTCGCTGGGCAAGACGATACGCCCCTTCTCATTGTTCCTTCCCCCCTTAAACCTGGTCACCCCCAAATATGTCTTATAATTCCACCGGGTTCACCAAGCAATTCCTTCCGGGCCCATGGGTTCCCGTATCTGATTTCGGACCCAACCGAATCCCGCAGGCAAGGAGGGCTGCAAGAGCGGCCTCACAGTTGAGGACTTCTGCAACCCTTACCAGCAGCTCTTCTGCCGCAAGTGCACCTCGGCAATCCACGCCGAACAAAAGTCAAATATCGGCGGGAGGTGGAAGTGCCGGGTTTGTGTGTCCGGGGGTTTCTCTTTTTGGTTAGCTTGAAAAGGGCAAGTCTTTATATTTGAATTTCCTCGAAGGACGTTATGTCATGTCCTTTGTACATTACGTGAGCGTCGACACTTGTGTAAAACAGACACTAGAACCCATAGCATTCCATAGCAATCACACAAGCAACGCAATTACCTATGTTGTTAAGTAAAGGGATCATTCGAGACTTAATCAGCTGTGATTCTAGTGAGGATACCAGCCCTGGTGATCACTAATATGAATGAAGTGAATGGGGAATGTCAAACCCACGGCTCAGACGGCAAGTTTCCGCTGTCAACACCTGGAACCTCCCGCAGTTTGCCGGATGGCTTGGTTTGATTCCAACGCCATGTGGGTCACCCGGACCGCTGAATTAGTAAGTCTCCTCTGCGTGTGAAATGGGACACTACCACCTAATCATGAGTCAACCAAGGCTTTATGGAGCCTGGGTTCCAATCTCATGGGATATTGCGAGTTGCCCTAAGCGCTTGAGACATCTGTGTCAGCAGATACTGGAGCTAGATTCTAGTGCAGAGGCTTCAGCCAGCAGACATGTCTCGAGGCAAGATCAGCTTCTGCCTGCCATGCGCCAAGCACATACAACAGGCGCGCCAGACAGAGCGAGAGAAGTATAGAGAAAGAGTAGTTGTTGATTAGCTTTCCAGCAAGGCTTCAAGGCTTGGTGGAACTTGTTTGGTGCACTCTAGGCGTGAAATGTGCACAATCCATTTTATTTGTTCAGAGTACTGGACCAGGCCGAGTCCCTCATAGCTTTTGGAGCATTCAAACTGCACGGATAGTGTTCTCAAAAACCAGGTCCCCCTAAAACCGTCCCTTTAATAGTCCAACCAAAATGGGGGTCCGCATGTCAATTGGACAAACGCTCAGGCTGGGGCAAGGCAAGTTCACCATGAAGGTCCCTTGCTTGCGGATTCCTACATTCAGGTTGGCGATTTTACACAGATGCTCTAGGCAAAAGACCCTTGTACTTGAGATATCCTCATCTGTGGGTTGGACAACCATTGTATGTTTCCTTGCAAGGAAATCGTGACCACCCTCGTCAGATTTGATTATGTTTTTCCAGAACCATCCCAACAGGAATCCGACAGGAGTCTGGCATGTTGACGTCTATGGAATTCCTGTCAAATATCGGCCAACTATCCCCCGTGTTCTATGGTGCGGCAAAATCCCAACGAATAGAACTGTAACGTCTAAACCTTTCACGATTCTAGTTGATCCTTTTTGCGCCTTTGTGGGGGGGTTGTCCGACCTACGACCAAAAACAGTTGTGAGGGAGAGGAATAATAATATCACCTTGTTTATTCTCTTGCCAGTTGGCTTTCCTGAAGTTCTGTTCGAAGCCCGCTTGCACTGTTCCTTGTGGTAGCTTCTTTGGTCCGCTTTAGAGCCTTTCTACATGCGAATGTATTCAAGAGAATCGCTATGACCTGGACTCATTTCGGGGAAACCAAGGGGATGTGTGATCTGTTTTGTTTCCCCCAGACCTCATTTGCAAAGCCGCGCTTGCTCGCGAGCGGCATGTTGCCTTGCTTTTGATGCCGGCCCTGCATACGGGCAAAGGTTCCTAAACCCATTCAGAACTCACACAATAGTTCTTTCCATCGTGAACCCCAAAGCAATTCTCCCAGATCATCCGCCTCAAGTTATGCCGTTCCCATTTCTTTCCGAGCTTTGCGGAGGTTTCCTTAGCGTTTCTGTGGCTTACTGCCGCCCTGATTGCGGGAGAAATGATGCGGGGGCACTCCAGTGTTTCAAAGGCCATGTCAAGCCCTCACAATAAGTCGTTTGTTTCCGTGGAGGCAACTGTGTTGGATGTTTCGTAAATGAAGGAGCGACATCCAGTCCGTCGAGCCCTCGGATACACATTTGTGAACGTTATCAGTGCTGGCTCCAATCGTTTTTGGTGGGGCAGGGTTTCCTGTTGAGTTTTGCACACCCCTGAGTATCAATGTGGACCCTGCAAAACATGTAGGCGGGCCTGCTTGGCAGACATGTGATTGGAATTGGAATATGTTTTGTGATCAGGACGTCTACATGACAAGCGTACAGTTGTGTGTTGAGATCGTGGTATCTGCTCTGTAGATATGGGGGTTGATCAATATTCCTGGCCAAAATGACCATGGGCAACTTGTCCCATTCAGTGGTGACAGTCATTTGTTATGGCGGTTTCCCTCATGGTCACCCCATGTTTACCGGACCTTTTGATCAACTCCCACATTGTGCAAATGCATGGGACATCTTAAAACACTGGTGTCTTTCGTCAGGAAATCCGGAAAGTCAAGGCGAAAGCAAAGGAGCCGAAGCAAAGCCAGGCCTCTAGCCAGGCGGGGCGGGCATGGCCTGGAGTCAAGGGTTCCAAAAGGAAGGGGCCCGGATCCCGACTCAAAGGGACGCCTCCCAATCAAAGTCCCAAATCGCTTTGTGGTTTTAACGCTCCGGTCCCCCAAAATTTGGCGCGTGTGCCCTTGAGTCCCTTGAGCCGCCAGATCTGAAGGTCCTTAGCCCCGACCTTTTGGGACAAATGGCCACAGCAGTGAACCTAAAGGCGTTTTGTCCGGGAAAGAGCAACCTCCCGGTTTTGTTTCTCGCGTCGCCAGTTGAGCAGTCGACAAATGGAGCGGAGCAAGAGCCGAAGCCGAAGCCCGATCCGAGAGAAGAAGAGCGGCTTCGCGGACGAGAAACGGGACGGCGACGCTTGGCTGACTTGAGGCTTCAGAGCATGTACCAGAAGCCACCTTTAACTATTTTGTGCAGAGGTAAGGTTGCTGCCTGAGGGTTTGGCGGGGGGAAGAACAACCCACAAAACATCCCCTTCCGATTTGCGTTGCCAAGTTCCTAGGTCTGGACCCAGCCATTAGATGCCATTAGACTCGTCGACACTCAAACCTACCTCTGCGCCAACTTCTTGCAGCCGGAGCATAGCTGGGCTCTTTGCTTGAGGTACTCTTGCTTGCTCGCTCAACTGGATTGCGTGGGTTCTCTTGCGTGTAGATGGGAAGGGACCAATCCTATACCACACTGTGCTGGCGATCATCTATCCACAGTATCACACCGGCTCAGTACAACTTCCTTTCTCAACAGGTCTTGCTCTTGCCGGGTACGAGCTCATGGTTAAGGAGCTCGCTTCAACGCCTTGTTTCAACCACTTGTTTGCCCAGCCCATGAACAGCCCAACTGCCAGTTGCGGATGTTGGAGCAAGTGCTCTGGTTGGCTCATCAACCTTTGTTCTATCGCGCATACGGCCAATGTAATTCCTCTTGGCCCTGCAGCCAGGAGTTTTCTTGTTCGCTCATGTTGCTGGGTCCCTTCAAGTCAACATGCTGAGGGTTCTCAAAATTGAATGCTTCTGGGGAGGCGCTTTCCCTCAACATGTTTGTTTTGTTTGTCACTTTGATACACCCGGTCGGGTGTTTCTCAAAATGTAGGGACCCCTCCGGGTGGTTGGTGTTTTTGTTGGTTTCCTTGCCTTGCAAAACTGGGTCAACGTTTGGCACCATTTTACATGTTTCGCTCAGCTCAAATAATGATGGCAGCAAGGATATAAATCCTGGGTTTTCGGGCTGAATTTTGTGCTTGAAAAGAGTGTTACATTTTAAGACCGACGGTCTTAGCTCCAACGTACTGGGCCGGATCCAGGAGAACGAGGAGAAGGATGAGGCAAGGGAGCGACTGACCTGGGCTGAATGAAGGTCCGAATCAATTGGGCGCTTCCTGTCGTTGAGGTGATGTTTGAAGCAGAAAACTAGGCAGCCCAGTTTTGAGGGAACATTTCTGCTGTTGAAGATATATCAGTTGTTTGTTTCGTGTCGCATGGGCTCAATGGGGATTGGTGTCAAAACCAAGTTGGACCCTTCCAGATGGTCGC